TATACTCTTCTTAAGAGGAGTCATGCTTGCACCAAGCACAACTACAGCACAAATTCAGGGAGCAGATCCCCACTGCCACCACACCTCCAGCTCCTGGAGACAAGCAGGATAACACAAAGCACCAGGAAGGGCCACGGGCAGGCACTGAACCACACAGTCAGGTTGACACCCAATCTGCCTGCATTACTCATCTTCAAAAATTGGCATGTTAGGCCAATAGCATACCTAGGGATTTTGCTTCTGGCATTCCAGCTAACATATTCCCAAGAACCTCAGTATCTCCACTTAGCTCTGAGTTTGGCCACACACAATTACATTCAAAGTAAAAGGAGACTCTTTGAAAGATGTTAAATGTTTTGGCCAAGACAATTCCATAACACTCCCCCTCATTACTTCAGAGCTTCTTTCAGTAAGCTACACCAATTCACTAGACTTTCTGATTACTATTGCTACACGTAAGGAAATACACTCAAAAGTCTTCCCTGCAATCAGCCCATCCAAGAAGCAAGCGAGCAAGGCGAGCTGCAACAGCAGCAATTTCACTCCTTGGCTAGCCAGGCCAGCAAAACCCTAACACACCCGACCAGAGCGTGCATTTTCCCCTACAATTACACAACCTTCAGCTTGGAATAACCACTTCTTATCAAGGCAGAATTATTTTTAAGGCTCCTTATCAATATAAAAAGTCAAGTCTAAAGGATATCACAGAAAGGTAAGTGGTAAGGTATTAAAGACAAAGGTTTCAGAGTGTAAGCTGAGTTACAGTTCTGTAGACCCTATTAAACCAAAGGAACATTTAACCTGAGCTCAAACAAGGCCACTAAGACTCTAGGGCATTTTGTATGAACAAGTTCAGCCTTGTTTTCATTACAAGAAGGAAGGAAAGGGCCTTCTCATCTTGGATTAGATACCACAAGACAGAATCATAAGACGTTTGCCAGTTTCCATACAAACTGGCAATTTCCAGACCAGACTTCCAAACCTTTTCACTCAAGTAATGAACTCTCCCAAAGTGACAGCTATGCTGTCTCATTTTCACTGCTTCTTACCTCCAGTTAGCTAATTCAATTTTGAAAAATTAAAGGAAAGCCAATATATTCCCCTACAATTTCATATCAAAAGATATTCCTTATTCCTCATTTCATTGTCACACTTTATCTCGGAGGAAACCAATTATGAAATGAATAAAGCGGTCTCCATCTACTCTGCTTGGGATCACTGGATGAACTTTTTTCTAGTAAAGTCACTTGTCATTAAGTGACTTTATAGAAATTAAGACCATCTAACTTCATACTTCAGCACGTAAAAAACTGAGAACATTTGGGACAGGGGTAGCTAAATCAATAGCAAGAATGTAGAAATGGTTTCTTCATCACCTGTTAATTTGAAGCTACTACATTAATGCAGCAATGCAACTCAAAAAGAGAGAAGAGCTGTCAATCATAGCTCCTAATGGGAAATTACTGACACTTCTTCACCTAATACAAACACTTAAATTTGTATTTAAAAATGAGTATATTCTCAGAGCAGTTACTTTCTGCAGAAGCCAAACATGTATAATTACAGAGTGTGCACACACACTTTCACTTCTCTCCCAACCTGCAGCTACTTGCAGGAGCTGATGTTTAGGGCATTAAATACAGTCATTATTACACCCTGAACTCTGGGTGCACACATGTGCAAACACACACCCAGTGAGGATGGTCAGCACACAGACCAGTATCACACCACTCAATATGAACAACGTGAATTAGATTATGAATGAGTCACACTTGGGTACGATACATCTCAGTATTGCAATATTTCATTATCGACACAACCGCGACCTGCAGCGCACCCTGTCCTTGCCCTCCTCTCCAAAGAACAGACCAGACCACTTTGCCACCACCCTATCCCAGCTGGGAAGGGGAAGAGCTGGTGGGAGGTTTGTGTCTGTCTCTCCTCTGCTTGCCAGCAGTGTCCTCGCCAGCAAGGTGTCAGAATTCACACGGGCACCACGATCCTCAGCGGCTGCGGGACCGGGGGGACAGAAGAGATTGGCAAAGCAAGCAAAAACTGGAGGGGTGACTCTTCACCTGGGACTCCCAATGAGCAGAGGAATTAGTGATGAAAAGGTGTCACACCTGCCACTACCTCAGCCTTCCCAAAACACTTCACAGTGCTGGTGTACCAAAACAGCATCAGTGTAATGAAAGATTCACATCCTACTGCCCACTGCTAATGCAAAACACAGCCAACTTCTGGGAGCAACTTCACAGACAGCTGCAGAGCTCATTCAGCTGAATGAGAGCGCTGATGTTCACAAAGCTCTGTGCTTTACAGGACTTCCTGACTTCTGCACGATTACATCCTTGTAGCATGTGGGTCTTCACTGCCACTACAAAACTTATAACAGCAAACACATTCTGACTTAAATGTAAAGTCCACGTTCTATTAAATTCCAGACCAAAATGAAGTTAGGTAAAATAACTCAGTTTGCTTTACATTATTCAGATCTGTTCTTCCTAACTTAAAACTATTATCTGAAAACAACATTATCAGCAATTTTGGCCATTTCCCCTAATCCATCCAGAACCTCTTTATGCTTAGGGCTGCAGCACTTTTTAGCATCAAACTCTTTCATGATGGGAAAATGACTATGAAGTATTGCTGTTGGGTGCTTAGCGCTTATACCCTGCCTTACAACTTCAAAGCATTACACAAACATCAATAATTACCATATATAGAGTAAAACTGAAAGAAGTATTCATATTAAAAAGGAAACTCACAGGAAAAAAAAACCTTAACTACCTGTTTGAATGGGGGAAAAAAGCTTAAGCAACAGAATCTTCTGTAATTATTGTTCTTTATGTTACACACATGCGTTAGGGCTGTGTACGTTGAAACAAACAAAAACTATACACTCTTGCACGGTCTTAAAAATAAATTGTAAAGCCCAAAAGCCAAACCCTAACTCCTTTCATACATCTAAATTACATTTCCTTCTCCCTTCCTCAAGGAATGAGAGCTAAGTGTTCTCCAGGTGTTCCCAATAACAATTTGGGAGGCAGGCCACCACGCTCCCAAGACACAGTACAAGAAAACACGGAGTTCTCACGGAGAAAAAGCCAACTTCCCCCAAGAAAACTTAACACAGCGACAGTGTACCAGCTCAGGTGACCTTAGGTAAATAATACAAAATGTTACCATTCCATTAGACCTTAAACAAAAACAAAGGAAAGAAAAACACCAGAGAAAAACCACAGAAAGTTTGTTTCGATCAATTACAGGGCACCATCTGTGCCCTAAGCACCATCACCAGCCCCTTTTTTTCAATAGATAAGGGCAAAAAACCCTTCACAAGCACATACCCACTCGCTTAAATTTCAGGACATACACAGGAGCTTGCAGGTCCAGTTCTCATTTGGAATGTATTCCGAAAGGCCCGCTAACACACATCTCCAAAGGAAGGCCCCAAACTCAACGTGAGTCTCACATGGACAAGCCTTTGGCTTACTCACAGCAACACAAGGGCACGAAACTGCCCCGAAGCCCAGGTACAACCAAACCCCAAACACCAATTTTGCATATGGTGCCCTCGCTGCTAAAGGAGCACAACTCACAACACCCAAAGGGTAGAGACCACCAACAGCAGCAAACCTTGTTAATGCACACAACGTGCTCAGACATTTATTTTAGCACCAAAGGACAGCAAAGCGAGTCAGACAAGCCCACAACACTTTTTTTTTATGCAACAAAGACCTGGTTCTCCTGATCATGTCTGCCATGCCTTAACAATAAGGAAGGAATATGTTTTGTGATCCCCTCCCCCATAAATCAGTTAGGAATTTGATTTACACAGACAGGAAAACGAGGAAGTCGAGCACACTGGAGAGTAGTAAAAACTTCACCAGCAAACTTCACTTTCCTACACAGCGACCTACAAACCAAACTTTCCTCCAGACTCACGTGTCATCTGCAGCAACCAGCCCCTGCCATAAAGCACAGACAAAGTTTTGCTGTTCTGGGGAATAAAGACAAGCGAGGGAGAGACTTTTATTCTGTCAAGCTGCCTTAAAAGGAAATTCGGTGATGAAAGATTAAATTCACCTGGAACAACACGATAAATTTTAACCCTTTCGAGGGTACAACAATAACAAGCCACATATTTCAGGACTTAAATCCTCCACCAAGAAAACAGTACACATTACATCAACCGTGCTAGCCCTTCTAATTGATGCAACACACAATTTACACCAGGGTTTCGGTCAGGGGTAAGCCGTGGCAAGGACAGACGGTGTGAAACGGGAAAATAAAAGCTGATTTTGTGTCTCGAACCGGGCCCGCTCCCTGCCACCGCGGGGTATTGCATGTTCCGCCCGGAACTTGGCCGGGAAACTGATCAATAACTTGGCTCTGGGGGCAGAGCCATGGGGGATGGCCCGGGGGTGGGGGTGCATGGGGTGCATCCCCTCCGAGGAGCGGCCGGGCCGGGATGGGGGAGAACTCCGGGCAGTGGGGGAGGGGAGGGGCCTCCCCTCCCCCCTTCCCCTCCCCCCATAAGTAAATATGCGGGAAGGGGGGGGAGGGGAAGCCGCTCTTCCACACAAATCGGGCTAAAAATAGGCCTCTCGCCATGGCTCCCGTGTGCCATTCGCTGCCGAGGCCGGTGTCCCCCCCATCCCCCGCTCCATTAAACGTTTTTATATATTTTTTTTAAATTAAAAAAAAAAAATGAATGCGGGTGGGGGAGGGGAAGCCAGCGGCTCGGGGTGGGGGAGGGGTAAAAATATATATATATATATATATATATATATATACACACACACACATATGTCTGTATATATATATACACACACACATGTATATATACACATATTAATAAAACCGGGGGGTCACAGAGGCGTTGTGCTCCCATCCCCCTCCCGCTCCACCGACACAAACAGGGCGGCCGCCCCCCACCCCCATCCCCGGCCCCGGCCCCTGCCCGCCCCCGGGGCTCCGAGCCCCCCGGTTCTTACCTTGCGAGCGGCTGCTCCCCCCTTTCCCCGGGAATGGAGGCACGAGGAATTCACCCTGGATTGTCTCTCCTCCTCCCGTGTGTTTTATACCGCCGCGTGTATATACGCGCACATCCCTGCCTGTGTGAGTGTGTGTGTGTGTGTACACGCGTATAGTTATCGATTATATATATATATATCTGTATTTTTAAGGTGTCCACACCGAGAGGAGGAGCAGAAAAAAAAAACACACCAGGAAAAAAAAAAAAAAAACCAACAAAACCACCACACACACACAGGAGGAGGAAGGAAAAAAAATACCCAGCGCGTAGCGCTGTGATATTCAATTATATCCGAGCCAGGGGCCGGGGGAGGGGAGGGGGGGGGGGGGGGGGGGGGGGGGGACTGGAGATTAAGTCCCGAGGAAGGAGGGGAAAAAAAAAAAAAAAGTAATATGTGTGTGTGTGATTGAGATTGAGGAGGGATCGGGGCGGAATGTGGGAGCTGTTACTGGGGGAAGGAGCCAAGCGGCGCGGAGCAGCCGGCGGCCCGCAGACACTCCGGGTGCCCGGCCGCGCCGAAATGGGCGCCGGCGGAGGGAAGGGAAGGGAAGGAAGGGAGGGAAGGAAGGAGGAAGGGAAGCAGCGGAGCCGGGAGGCGAGGCCAGGCGAGGAGGAGCGGCCCGGCCCGGCCACACAAGCCCAGTGCGGGGGTCGGGGAGGGGGACGCGCTCCCTGACCCCTTCCCCGCCGCTCCCGGCAGCGGGGAGGGGAGGTGGCCGCGGGGAAAGGGAGGGGAGGCCGCCCGGGCACGGCAGGCCCCGGGCCGCGGAGCTTTTCTAGGAAAGACATTAAATTGCGCTGCCAACAGAGCTTATGTAAATGCAGGATGTAACATGGTGGTTTTGCCTCTCTCCTCGCAGCCCGTCGCGGTTGGCCATGGCACCGGGACCCGGCCCTGCGCGGGCACCGCGCTACCGCCTCTGCCCTCTCGTTCCATTTAATGAAAATAAACCTCCGCAGCACTAATGCAATGTCCTACCTGGGTGTTTTTACAATTGAAATGCTGTTCTTCATCTATGTAGCTGCATTGTTTGTTTTTGAAAGCGAGCTTTGTTAATCGAAACCACATTCGTCACCAGGCAGCCCTTTCCATCTTAAAATGGTTTTGCAAGAGCGTTTCACACTCTTGGGCGATGGTCCAGCACTCTCATGTCCGGACATTGGCACCCGTGCAGAGTCCCAGTGACCACAAACCCTGCACGGATCCGACGGCAACATCCGATGTTATCCCAGCTCATTCCAAGGCTCTCCACGCACCCCAGCCCAGCTCTGGTGTTGCTCAAACAGGGCGTCCACATCACCACGCTCAATTTCAGAACTTGGTTTCACTGCAGCTGGCACTGGATAAATAGGTGGCCATGAATGTAGTGCTTTTATGCTTTTTGTTGTTGTTGTTGTTTTTTTTGGGTTTTGTGGATAGAGCATTGCCAGAGAATTATGCTAGTCCTAAGGTAGCAGTTCTGGATTTTACCTTCACTCTAACACCTGGGATATACCACAGGCAGATTTTGCCCACCTGAGCATCATCGCACAAGCAGATGGGGCCCATCATCTCCACAAAGCCTTGGGTGGCTCTCTGGGTGTAGGATCCCCTCATAGTACTCATTCTCTTCTGCATCAAACCCATGCATTTTTCCTTCCTTTATGAAGAAAAAGATTAAAATACTTGCAGAAATTAGTTTTTGGGGGTTTTTTTAAATTGCAAAGTTATTTAGTTTTGAGATAACCCTAGCCGTTCAGTCCATTTGCTTGAAGAGGCCAGAGTTACGTCAGGAAACCTAAATCTCTCTAGAAAGCCAGGAAGCATATTTGTAATTGCAAATCACTTTGTGTCCAGCATTTATTTGTGTAATGATTTTGGTGGCCCAAGTGGGTGACTTTCTTTTCTCACTAATGGTGTGTAGGCTCTCTGCTTTAGGTGTGTAAAGAGGCCATAATTTTGAAGATTATATCCAGCTCCAAAATTTGCTGAAAGAAATTTGAGTGGAAGAAGAAGTAGCAAGGCACTCATTATCACGTTCATGCATTATAATCTTAGATCTGTCCATGCTTCTAATGGAGTTTGACCTCTTGATACTCTGATTTATTTCCCAGGTGAAAGAAGATAAGCAGTAACAGTGTGTGGAGGAAGGGGAATGGGAATGTGCACATAGCCTAAGGCAAGAGCAAAGGGAACTCTTCTGGGGGACTGAGGGGGACAGCAGGGGCCTAAAGGAGGATATGTGAGGAGCCCATGAAATGGGAGTGAGAGGTGTGACGTTCAGAAAGCTTGTGTGAGAAACGGGGGAGGGAGAATCCCTGAAGTGTGCGTTGTTTGGCCCTCAGGAACTACAAACACTGTCTTCCCATCCATCTGCCGAGCAGTGACAGCGTGCTGAGCTGAAGTCATCTGGCTGAAGGTTTCCATGCTCTGGTGTTCTCCAAATGTTCAGTCGCTGCTCTGGGGTGCCAGGCTCTCTTTTTTAACACGATGACGTGCTCAACTGGGCGATTTCCCGAGGAGAAGTTCTGCTCTCCAGGATCTACAAAGTGCATTCTGGAGGATTTATGCTTTAATAGTCGCCCCCCATCTGTTTTGTCCTGGTTTCCCTTTTTTTACGAAGGCGAACACCCCACAGGACTGCACAAAGGCCTCTCACTCTCTGTGATGAGCTTAAGCCTTTGCAGATCTCTCACCCAAATGTGCAGCTGGACTCAGAGCTACAGGGGACACTTCAGAGCATATGGGAAGGGGGTTCTCACCCTCAGAGGTGTCCAAGGATGGATGGTGGGTAGCACGGGGCAGTTGAGCAGGTTGTGGTTTACAGCAGGTTGTTTGGTGAGCCAGCTGAGCTCAGGGAGCTGGCTTTGCCTTCTGGGAGAGCCACTTCTAAACAGTAACTTTGTTACATTTCCCTTCCCAAAGCAGCGAGAAAGATTGGACAAAACCCTAACTTTCAGATGTGCAGCTGGAGCAGATCTGAGGTCTTGGTTCATCCCTGTGTTTGAATAAAAGCACACTTCTGAAGTTCTTCAGCGACACAGCTGCTCATGGCCAGTGGCTCCATCATCCCAATGACTGGAAAGTTTTCTCACAGCCATATTTTAAAGACACATCCTTAAAATAGTTGAAATGACTTGTAACAAGGAGTGCTTGGCCTACGAAGCACATATAAGCAAATATTTGCAATAACTGGCCCACTGTTTGCACAGCACCAAGCACACTGCCTGGACTCCATAAATAATAATACTTGGCACTTGCAGAGTGGTTTCCATTTTCAAAGCACTTTAGTCATAACCCTTGACACCTATACGGCCTTTTACATCTTTACAAGAATTAATTAATCCTCACAATGCCCTGTGAGGTAGGTATGCGCTGCAATAATAACAATAACAACAATTAATAATTCATGCATTCTACTCAAAAATCACTTCAGGGATTAAAATGCATCTGTAATACTTGGGGTTTATTAACATTTTCCAGCAAATAATAAAACCCATGCTATTGTGTTAAATCTATATAATATCCATCCATAAATCTTGTGCAGATTGGAGCGAGACCGAAGGCACAGCGAGGCATCAGCAGGAAGCAGATGGCTGGCTCCAGAAAAGTTCAAGCCCAGTCCACACACAACCCAGGTGCTAGAACAGAGCATGGCAGTGCGTAAATAAATACCAGCGAACCAGGAAGGCTCTTTGTTCATTTTTAGCTGCTGTTTGTGCAGGGCTCCCCCAGGCTGGGCGTGCATGACCCCATCCTGCACAAACACAGCCCCAGAAAATGCGGGTGGGTGACCAAGGGCGGTGACTCAGCACTGCTCAGCAGCACAGGGCAGGGAGGAGCCTGGACAGCGCCAGGAAAACACTTTCCCTCCACATTCTCCCTCGTAAGAATTACCATAGTGCCTTTGATATGCAGGCAAGCCCCAGTTAAACCTGATATTTAAACCAGCGGGATTTAAACCCTGTTGATTTAAGCACAAGAGCCATCAGGCTCCCACGGGGGAGCTCCGGGCCTGGCAGGGCAGGGGAGGGAGCAGGCTCCCCACAGGACAGATCCCCCACAAAGATGCTTTTGTCAGTTCACATCCCAAAGTGGATTAATGGGAAGCACAAGGGCACTTTAATTCTAATGAGCAGGTACACCCACAGCCTCGCAATTCCACCAAGGCTTCCCGTGACTTCCCTGTGACAGCGAGCTCTGCGTCGGAAGCACTCAGCAGTTAGGCCTGGAGGCCTTCATACTCTTAAGACCTTTGAGGGGAGATATCGACATTAAAAAAAAAAAAAAAAAGGCAGACCAGAATTTTAAAAACTCCTCTAAATTATTTGACTTTGTATTGTGCATACTGAGAAAGGAAATGGAGGTTCCCTGGTTTGAAGGCACTGGTTTTATTCCTTTTGAGGCTGCTGACAATGACTCTTTGCGGGAGAGGACATGCTGGAATACGGCTTCTTTCTGAGTAGGGAGCATCTTCTGCTCCAACTTAGCATAACTTTGTTGGTGATTCGTCATTTATTGATCATATATGGTAAAAAATGTCCAAAAGTGGTGATCAACATACCAGTACAACTATTTTTTTCAGTTGCTTTAAAGCACACACACAGGGATAACCTTGTGTATCTCCATAAACTGGGGAAGAGTCAATCCGAAAACAATCATCTCACTGATACACTTACTAGATCGATTTGGGAGGCTTCTTCTTCCAGAATAAACAGCCAGAGCAGAGGAACAGCATGACCAGGTGAACAGTCCCTCATTCACAGGCAGGTGATGAACTGTGTGATCCAAAGCCATCAGGTGGTCCTTTCAGAAGTTTCAGGACACAAGTTACCCTGCTCAGAGCATGTTCAGCTCACTTCGTGTTCAGGCATGTGAACTGTTCCACACCTCCCCAGGACACAGAGATTCTGCTGGGCACAGCTGCTGGCCCTGGCCCTTCTGCACAGGAGCAATTGCATGTTGTTATTTTCAAAATCTACTACAGGACCCCAAAAAATAGTACAGATAACCAAGGTCAGGACTGCTGCAAGATGAGGATGCCTACCAAACAGAGTCTGGCCTCACTGTTTATTGGTGCCGAGGTCCCATCCAGAGGCCCATCATTCATTCCCTGAAGGCTGTAAGAGAAACACAGAT